TAATCATGATGTACCTTTAACGCTAAAATATTAGTGTCTTAAAAAGTTTTCAAGTGCAAAGCTTCCAAATCACTGTATTGAACGTGAACATAGACACACTTGTCATTTGATACGTCTTTTTGACAAGATCAGTTCTAGTCTTCAGTGCGACGATAAAAGAAGGGTCAAGGTCAATAGATATTTGTCGTGTTGGATAGATTGAATATACAGCGTTTACGAACCATTGAGCCATTATACCTTTATCTACAAATATATAATTATTACTAATTGGTAATTCAACCTTCAATACACGTAGAAATTCTTAGTGATATAGCGTAAAACTGTTATACAATGGCATATCGGCAAATATAACCATTATTCGTTCAGTGTATATTCATTTGTTTGTGTAAATAAGTCTTTGGATTGAGTTAAGCCATTTCAATTGATATTTCATAGTATGTCTTTCTGTGTTGTGATGTGACACTTTTGTTTCATGTATGGTTGGAGGTTGGTATATATTAAAACGTTTGAACCCGCTGCATTTGTTTTCACCTGTCCCAAGTCAGGATATGTGGTTATTGTTTGTGATTTGGTCTATAAGTGTTCTCGATAGTTGTTTCTCGTTTTGTATATAGATTAGACCGTTGGTTCTCCCGTTTGAATGGTTTTACATTAGTCTTTTTTGGGCCCTTTATAGAAGAGGGACGAAAGATACCAGAGGGACAGTCAAACTCATAGATCGAAAACAAACTGACAACGCCATGGCCAAAAATAAAAAGACAAACAGACAAATAATAGTACAGATGACACAACATAGAAAACTAAAGATTAGGCAACACGAACCCCACCAAAAACTGGGGGTGATCTCAGGTGCTCAGGAAGGGTAAGCAGATCCTGCTCCACATAGCTTGCTGTTCGGTGTGAGCCAAGGCTGCGTGTTGAAGACCGTACTTTGACCTATAATGGTTTACTTTTACAAATTGTGACTTGGATGGAGAGTTGTCTCATTGGTACACAAATGACGAAAATGGAAAGACATGTATAATCAACCGTTAAAGTAGTTTGCACATAACCTAGGAATTTAAATGTTTTTTTTTGGATCAGATGTAATAGCAAATTAGTTATATAAGTTTTATAATATGAAAATCTCTATAAATATAATATTATCTTGATAAAACTATATTTAGATATAAGGAAACAAACAAACATTTTGAAGTAACCTTATCTGAAAGATTAGTTAATCGTTATGTCTTGAGAGGAACTACAAGAAAGTTTTATAATTGATTAAAATAAAATGTGTCGGATAAATTATTTTAATAAAATTTCGTCATGTCAGCTGTTAATTCATTATCATGAAATCATCGTAAAAGTAAGTAAAAAGCCCATTTTTGTTATGTAAGAACACGCGTTTACTATTTTGTTAAGAGTTTGGGAATCTTTTATAAGATTTTGTAAAAGAAATTTTTATAATTCAAATCATAAGATCATTCCCTATTTTGGTAATCTTAACAAATATACTATAATTGTATACTGCATTGTATATCATCGACAAAGAAAAAACACTTAGAAGAAGCCCAAAAGAGATATAAGAGGTATAACTTATTATGCATGTTAACAAAAACAAATAAAATGATATATCAGCTGAACACCACTAGTCTTTTTTCCATTTGTAGCTAACAGGGTTGCAATTATGTTTAAAATCCTGCTTATCTTAAATCATTTGTACGGTAATTGATGATCAAAATGGCATTAATACAATACGCAATTCATTTACAAAGAGTTTTTTTCAAAGGCAACTCGCTGATTACAGTTATGAGAAATAAAAACAAACTTATCGTTGGATATTTAAATTAAAATATTCTTGCCAATAAAACAGTTACACATGTGTTAAGGGCAATCGTTATCGGGCAGATATAGTACAAATCATTGACCTACACTACAATTATAAATATAAACTCTTTAATTACTACAATTATGACTACTATACCCGATTTATAATCGTAATACAATACACCATAACGCAGTACAAAAACTATAATAATAAAACAGTATTTCGTAATTATTTTTACACACACATTTTCCTATATTTTTAATAAACAAATCCTACTAGTCAATATGTTAACATGCAAATGTCATTCTAAAAACGACTAATTGTAGAATATCAATCCTTTCAATGAAACCCCATGTGCTTTATCCTAAATCAATGTAAATTGAATTGCAGAAAACATGGTCAATAGAATTAAATTTGTGAATTAAAAGAATTGCAAGGGCTAAATATTTGTGTCATTTGTGTGGGATCTATCTGGCACCCTATTTCGAAAATCTGTGTGAAATCAAACAGACTTAACGTTTTGCACAACAAATGATGAATTATATGCAGCAACTTGTGGTAATCCAAACGGAATTCTAAACAGTTGTTAAGATTTGTTTCACAATATTTCAGTAATATTGAAACGAAGCTTTATCGCTTGACACTATTATTCACCATGCCTTTTCAAATATTGAATACATAGTCTTATTAAGGTGGTACCCAACACTTTGACTAAAATTAATTTGACTCGTTTAATTTTCATAAAATTTTGACAAAATATTAACTTTAACCCTTTGAAAAAAATATAAAAATTAAAAAAAACTTGAACAAATCACTTTCACGGAAAAATTTCATTGAATATATAGCAGTTTGACAAACACTAATTTTGATCATTGAGAAGCTGAATTTTCCTAAACAATAGATCGTGATTTAAACGTTTACCTGAATTTACAGAGTTATCTCCCTGTTGTGTTAGGTACCACCTTAAATAGAACTTAAAAATAAAATGCTGTTAAACATGCCTATTTTAGTCCAGGCAAATTATTACTATATGAAAGAACCACACTGATTCCAAAAGAAAAAGAAACGAAGATGATACCATCAAAATGATGGACGTTTTGATCGACAACATATATGTTGAAATTCAATTAGTGATACTTCATGGAACAGTTGGTATTCAAATGGATACGTATTGTGCTACTAGTCGACTTTTTTTTGTACAAATATGACGCAGAATTCATGCACAACATTCTCAAATTAAAAAAAAAAAACAATCAACTTCTCGCCAAGAACTTTAATTTTATTCCAGATATATTGATGATGTTTAAACAAATACCCGAGTGAACTTGAGATAAAGGATTCTGCCAAAACTAGATATTCATCTTGATATTCAAATCCTTTTCTCCAGTGATTTGACCATAAATAGATTTTTTTCGTTTTTTATATGTCCGTTTTAGTCGCATATCTTCTAATGTTTTATCGTTGTTACGCAACAATGACTTTCACATGCTAAGGATTAAACATGCATGATGACGGTTAATAAAGAAAAGAGAATTGAACGGACGAAATCAGTAATACATAATTCATTTTGTTTAACACAGACCTCGAACTGAAATATATGACTAACTGTCTATATTCTTTCATCTTATGGAGTTGAATTTTTTCAATTTCTACGTTACTGTTTTTCAAGCGGACTTTATATTTACTTGATTCAAAAGGGTAGGCCCCTGACACTAACACTGAGTTACCAGGATAAACGACCGAAAATATGCACGTTACCATTTTTCCTGGTACCATAACGATTTAATACTATGTGTATATGTCTCAGCTCAATAGCGACATGATTTCGTGATCTCAAAACCAAAATACCAATACCAATATAGAAATCATCTAATGATAATTAGCCAATGGTATCCTGTGACGAATTGTGTCATTGACTGAATTTAATCTCGATTCAAATTGCGGTTGATGTATGAATAGAAGGAGCCGATCACCCTGTCATTGCACTCATTGCCTATATCTCATTTAAGAGACCATGCGCGTCCTGTCGTTTTTGTTTTACCATTCAAACTATTGTTACGGATTCAATGAACATGCATTTGTACATGAATCTACCAAGCAAGGAATATGACAGTTGTTATCTAGTCGTTTGATGTGTTATAGCTTTTTATTTTGCCATTTGATTAGGGACTTTCCTTTTTGAATTTTCCTCGGAGTTCAGTATTTTTGTGATTCAATTTTTTTACCGTTAAATATTATCTTTGTCACAGATGAACAATGATATCTTCCAATTTTGTAAGCCACGTTTTAATCCCTTTTTTCTTCATTTTTCTAATTTGTACATGTCATGGCAAGCCTGGCGGGTAACGTTGGCATAGAAGGGTCGTGTTATCTCCATAAAAAACACAAGTGTTTCTTATGGAGGTAACCTTGCTCAGGTTTAAGTCTTTCGTGAAGAGATTTATGAGCTTGTTCGACTTTTAATCATTTTTTGCATTGTCGTTGTAATTTTGTCTGCGACTTTTAATTATCTGCTTTGTATCTTCCGTCTCTTGTGTTGATTATTTTGCTGTTGTATTGAATTGATATTTTGCAATTTAAACGAATGCAATCCCTGGATCTTTTATTGATTGTCATAACCAGAAAATGAAACAAAATTGAAAAACATTCGCAATTCTCTACGTTGACACAGTAAATGATAATGGTTAGCATGTGGAATGGAATAAAAGATGAGGAATACAGAACACCGGATTGCAGATCCTTATTTGAACCAGATAATTATTGGTATTAGAGTAGTTTTTGTTAATCTGTCTTATTATAAACCTTGTTAGCGCTTAATTCTTCCAGTGACATTTTTATAAACTTAACAACATGGATCTTTTAAGCTAAAAATAACATTATACAAAACACTTTTGCAACTCTATGTTTTGGTTGAATTTTTGTTGCCCAGTCTTTAGTTTTCTATGTTGCATTTTTAAACGTTATTTTTATTCGTCGTCTTCTGTTTAGTTACATGATAATTATCAGATTTTCTCTTCTGATAAGTTCAGAATGTCCTCTTATCATCTCCAACGCCTTTTAATATTCAAATTCAAATGTATTGAAATAAACTGCAAATGACAATATCAATATTGTCAAAATAAGATAATGATAAGAAGTATGTTTTTCTTATTAAAACGAATAACTATAAAATAAAACAAAAAAGGCAAAAGATATATATATATTTTTAATAATTATTTTTACACATGAAAAAACAAACGCAACATACATTATGAAGAAAGAAATGATTGAAACATTAACACAATAAAATAAAACAGATTTTGTATTTTTCACTACTCATAGTTTTGCATCGCACATGCTTGTGGAATGGAGTCATCGTCACTTTCTCTGTGACTATCTGCGTATGAAGATACTTTTTTTGAGAAATCTATGTCAACATAATTTGTTCTGTTTTCACTACCATGAATGTAAAACTTGTATTCGTTTGGGTTTGGTTCAAAGCTAACTTCAATATAGCTAAGTCTATCAGGACCCTAGAATAAAAAGAAGAATGCATATTCAAATAGTTTATAATATTGTATATTTGACATCATTTACCCGCCTCCAAATAAATTTATCCCCCCCAAAAAAAATATTTTTCTTTTCTATCATTCTTTTCTATCATTTCTTCCTCTGTTTTTTTTACGGCTGTAAGTAATTCGGGCGCAATCACGAATTGGTTGACCGTTATTAGAAATCTGTTTCACAAATGACAATGTATATGTTCAATTTTCAACACAATACCGTTTTCTAGTCACCGAATCTGACCTACCAATTAAGACTTATCACCCACCAGGTTTGAGCATCACGATGGATGCCACTTGTGGATCAGGATCTGCCTACTTTTCGTAAACACATCCTTAGTTATTGGTGGGGTTCGTGTTTCCTCGTTTTTAATTTTCAGTCTATCATGTTTGACTTTGTGCTATCTGTCTTAGTTTTGTTTTTGACATATTGTGGTCATTTACCGACTTATGAGTTCGAATGTCCCTTTTGTATCTTTTGTATCTATTTTGTAATGTTTTGTTCTATTCAAAGTTTCATTTGATTTTCCATACCACATTGCTGATAGATTTTCCGACATGTATATGACGAAAAAAAGATATAAAATTGCAATCTTTATATAAACTACACGAACCTTCTTTGTCGCAGAGTTCACAGTTCCGCTAGCCTGTCCAACAGAAGCTACAATATCAATTCCCTTGATGAAATAATATCATTTTCAAGAAAAGAATTCAACTATAATTTTTTCCCATAATACCAGGTTCATCCTACAGTATGATCACGAATGCATTCAACATATTTTTGTCAAACTAGAAATAAATCTAGATCTTTGTATATAAATTTGAGATGAGGGAATATCGTTTTTATAGCCCGGGGGCGTATCCGCTAGCTGCTTGTGTGCTGTTTGAAGTAGTTCTTGAAAGTAATTCAAACTAAGGAACTAGTTATTTGGAACTGTTAATTTTTATGAAATGACTTTCTTAATTAAGAATTATTTAGATGAATAACATTTTGTATAGCTCATTGTGCAGGTGGTACTGCTAACGCGATTCGGAGTTTTTTTTATTGTTTCCATTTTGTCCGCCCTTGATTTTATATTTTATTTTATTTGTACCTGCACCAACAAAGTTATGCCCAAAATTGAAATCGATACCACACACACGAATTGGTTGAACAACACAACTTGCATGTGTCTTTATACACTAACAACCATGTCTTTGCAATCTTTGATCTGAATAGTCGGTACATTTGTCATTTCATCGATTGCGTCCTTTTACCGCTTGCGACAATATAAAAACACCCTCACTATTGATGGGACGGCGTGGGGATTGTCATGGCGGGTAAAAATGAAATCGAAAGTATTAATCATTATGTCAGACGTTAGAGAGCGATGGTATGGTACAAATTAATACAAAGATGTTATTATTTATACACCATACATGAAATCATTCATATTCAATTAAGTAGAGCTAGAGCAATAAAGAAAACTCACTTATAAATGTAAAAATGTGTGAATGACGCAGTATATGTAAGTCACATAAAGTTATAACATTTCACAATCTAACCTCTATTCTCTTTGCGTTTTTCAAGATAGTTTCGTTTCCGTTTTGGTGTTGTCGAATAGGAGACGGTCTGTCCTATGGTAAGATTTGCTCGTCTGTCAATAGAAGAATACACAGGGACATCTAAGTTCTGTGCGACTGCATTCTGTGCCACTGCATGCTGTTCTACATTGTTCTGCATCTCGTAAACATTGTTCTCAACAGCACCAACGCCAACTTTAAAATAAAGCACTTAAAATGTACAACTAGATAAAAATGAACTTGGAAAGTTATTTTTACAAAAGGAGTTGTTTCAACACGCACCTGTCAAACGACTACTAATTAGTGGTTGTATTTTATTATTTGCAGGCTAGATTCTTAATCAATTAAACTTAATTTGAAACAATCAAAACATAAAACTAGATAAAATGAACTTAGAATTTTATTTCTACAAAAGGAGTGGTTTCAATATGTACCTGTCAAACGACTATCTGTGATTGCTTAATTGTTTTCACGTAAACATTCGCAATCATTTGAATTTAAAAGTTTAGCAGGAACAACGTTTATTAAAGGTATAAAACATTGCTAATAGAAATCCAATCACTACAAACCAGTAAAAGTCTGAAATGGCCTATATCTGTACTCGACTGTACTGATTGTTACTCGACCAGTCTGAATTGGTCTGAATTTTACTCGACATTACTCGACCCCAGTCTTAACCATACTCGACTGTACTGATTTGTACTTGACCCTTATCTTTGCCATTGAAAATAGTCTGAACTATTACTCGACCAGTCTGAAACAGTCTTAACCCATTATCGACCTGTACTCGACCTATTTTTTTCAGTCTAAACCATACTCGACCAAAGGTCTGAACAATACTCGACCAGTCTGAACCATACTTGACCAAATAACCTCTACTTTTTCTAAATTTTAACTGTTAAAATAAATTTCTTTTTAACTGACATGACAACAGCCACAATAAAATAAAGCTATATTATAAAACCAGATTTTTACATTCTTACATGATTCTCAGATTTATCGAATAGAGATAGTTAAATCAAATTATCTTATATAATAATTTAATTATATTAATTTTATTATAGAGTTTTGTTAAAAAAAGATTTTCTTTTACCTAAAAACCACACCAATACTGAGGGAAATTAAACCTTATTAAGGTGCTTCTTGTTTGGCATGTGTTTTTTTTTTTAATTAATTTTCCTAAATTCCTAAATAAAAACTACATAGATTTCATGGTTACATACAAAAAATGTACAATAGTTATATAATTATCTTTTTAATGAGGTAACAACAGCCAACAAATCAATGAAATTGTTTAACTTTATTTTAGAAATATATCTATTATTATAATTTGGGATATATTATATACAATATATATCAAAAAGGGATAAAAATTAAAGAAATTAATAAAATTGTTCTTCTGATTAGTGGTGAAGTATAAAGTAATACCTCCTGCTTGGGGCAAACTCATGAAAAAGATCACACCTGGTCAGAGAGTATTAAATTCTGAATAATATTCATTCAAAATTGCAACATCCTGTGATATTTAAATCGCAAGGCCTTTTGAACTCACTAGATAAGTAATACACGAGTTTAAGAGAAATAGGGCTTTCTTTTTACCTGTAAAACACACATGTACTGAGGTAATTAGACCTTATTGGAGTGCTTCTTGTATGCCATGTCTTTAATTTTGACAAAAATAATTTAAATTTAATTGAAATAAATTTTTACTGTAACTTTGGAACACATTTCCTTTTTTAAAAGTTTATCACAGGATTACTATGGAAGTTCTATTATCATGATTATATTAAATTCTTGGTTTAACAAAACAAAGGTGTCATTTTTTAAATTTATTAAGTTGCTTTATATGCTATTTTATATTTATATTAATAAAAAAAAATAGTCACTGCATTATAAACGAAACTCAAATGACACCATAAATCTATACGAGGCTTAAGTTAATGTTGAAAATTGTCCAGTTACCATAAAATATATCTGAAACATTCAAAAAATTTTGAATAACAATTCAGTTTTGAGATTATTTGATCAGCTTGTTTTATTTTTATGTTAAAGGTGATATATATGTATGTATATAAGTGTTGATGAATATGGTGATGAAGTTATATTATGTTTATTGTGAAATTTTGGTTACAATGCTATATTGAATACATTTTTAATTTTAACATTTCTTTTTAACTGACATGACAAATTGTTGTTCAAATTTCTAGCCAGGGGAAATAGCTGTTGTTAATAACAGTTCCTAAATTGATGAAATACAATAGATAGATACAAAAAATAGGTCTAGGTTGGTTAAGACTTGGTCGAGTATGGTTCAGACTAGGTCGAGTATGGTTCAGACTAGGTCGAGTATGGTTCAGACTAGGTCGAGCATGGTTCAGACTAGGTCGAGCATGGTTCAGACGCGTATAAAATGGTTAAGTACTGGTCGAGTAAGGATCGAGTACAAGTTCAGACTGTTAAGTATGGTTCAGACTACAGTCGAGTATTATCAAGTAAATTTCAGACCAATTCAGACTGGTCGAGTAAAAATCAGTACAGTCGAGTACAGATATAGGCCATTTCAGACTTTACTGGTTTGTAGTGAATCCTTTCGCAAGCGCACAATATCAGAATCTTGTGTTACCCGAAAAGAAATTGTTAAAGGAAGGGCAATTTCAATCTATATTGTCAATATAAAATTATCATAAATTGTCACCTATGAATCTCATTTAATATGTATCTATAAAAAAAAAATAAGAATTACTATACATTGTAGTGTAAAGCATACCTTCGTAAATGAATTGCTGCCTTTTGAAGCAACTAAAAAGAAAAAAAGAAAACATTATTTTTTAATATGGTTAAATTTAATGTTGATGAGAGAAAAATGCCATGTTCTCATGCTGTACTATGACACCACTGTGCCCAGTTATGGAAGCTTGTGCTCAAACCCGTCACATTTTAAATGTGCATGGGTTTGCTCATTGTTGAAGTTCGTACGGTGACCTATAGTTGTTAATTTCTGTGTCATTTGGTCTCTTGTGGAGAGTTGTCTCATTGGCAATCATACCACATCTTTTTTTATATTGCCTCAAGTCAGAAGCCTGTAAGTCACTTGTTGTCGCTTGTTTCCGTGTATCATATTTGTTTTTCGTTCATTTTTTAGACATAAATTAGTTTTCTCGTTTGAATTGTTTTACATTTTTCGTTTTGGGTCCTTTTATACCTGACTATATGGTATGGGTTTTGCTCATTGATGAAGGCCGTACTGTGACCTTCAATTGGTTATTTCTGTGTTATGTGTCATCTAGAGAGTTGTCTCCTTGGACATACTACTACTTGTTTTTATTTTTATATTTATATTAAACACTTAAGTCAAAATCAAATTGAACTTTCAATGTTGAGTTGTTGAGGATATCATTATTGTACAATGTAACAGCGTATCGCGAATTGAAATTTTTTTGGTTAAACTAATTACTCTTAGTCATAGGATGCCAAAAACATGTTCTTATTTAAATATATTTTGTTAGTGTAGGATTCAACCATATTTGTATTTGAAACGGATACAAGTGACTATTTTTATTAAAATTGAAGGAAAGCCTACCTGATTCTCTCAAGTGCTCTTACATTTCCTAGAAAAATAATAAAAACAAAACTGATTGTATGAACAATAACACACAATGTTTATCGATTATTTATGAAAATGTACAACTAGAACATGAAAAAAGAAATCGTAATGTGAGATAGTACAAATACATCTTGACCTAAAGAACTCATTTACTCATACCATATATATTGTTGTATTTTTCTGCTTTGTCTGATAATGTACCAGAATTTTAGATTGATGTTGCAGCCTTTTCAATATTTATTCCTGAAACTTTGGGCATCTTCGTTAACACATATACTTGTAGAATGTCAAGTTTTTGTGAAGTATTTGACAAAAAAAAACCCTACCTTTTTTATACTGCCAATACAGGACACCAATTGATATCAGAAATGGAACAACCAATACAAAAAATACAAGTGTCTCATTGTCACTGACTTTTGTAGATCCTAAAAGAAAAAGAAATCAATATTGCTGTTATTATCGCATTATATATACATAAAGTAAGTTAATATAAAGAGTTTCGTAGGCAGGACGCATGCATAAACTAAACGCTCTTTCTGACAAAAATCGGCTCTTTTTGTTGTTCTTAATTGTGTTATATATTCAGGATCTAGTTTTCATAGTGATATCTACCTGTTCTGATGAGTTTCACATCTGTAAAGTTACTCTTTCCTTTTATATTTTCGGAGTAAATTCGAATCAAGTACTCAGTTCCAGAAGTTAGTCCATCGATAGAATCAATTTGCATCCCAGGACCTGAGACAGGTATTTCATTCCAGTACTGAACATCACGTCTACGATACTGGATGACGACTGACTGTGGGAATCCACCATGAAACTTTGCACGCCACTGGATAAGGATCTTACTTGTCTTAGGCATTATCTTCATAATTTCTGGTGTTTCAGGACAACCTGCAGAAGCAAATACATATCATTTTAACGAGGTGATGTTCGTATTTTCATATTGTATGATGTTTCAATTTTTCAATAAATACATGTGTTTGTGGATTTGACATGCCTCTGCAATTTTAAAGCACGACAACATATTTCTAAAGCTTATAAATATCAATGAAATGTCACAATATATATATCAAGTCATGTACTTGTTTAACGGTGGTAATGTTAAAGAAGTAGTAGAAGGAATGAAACAATCAGTGGAGTGATATTTTCATGTTCAATTAAAAAAAACCCCAAAAAAACTTGAAGTTAACGCAATCTCATTTGACAGAACTATCAACTAGTGAGATAATAACGTTTTTGCAGTATTTTATATTTTGTAATGAGAACTAAGTTAAGAAAATATCACAAGTATAAGGATGATTGCTTACTTGCTGAACGAAGGGAAATGTTGAAGTTGGCTGATCCAAACTTATTTCTCAGTTTTATTGTATATGACCGGAAATCACTTTCATTCCTTATGTACATTGATATGACCAGTCTACTGCCATTCACAAATACAGTTTTGTTATATACTTTGTCTATAACCCTCCAAGTTTCCAGAGTATGATTGTCGTTAGGATGTATCTTATCCACACCAATAACAGTAAACTTCGTAATCTCTGGAAAACTAACAAAGTTAACGGTTAGGTTGCCCACTTGATCTTTTATTCCATATTGCGTGTTATTGTTGGAGGTAACAAAATACGGTTTTCCTGGTGAAATGATATAAATGAATGAAAAAATTTTTCCAAGGCAAACTATGAACATTATATATTGCTAAAATAAGACAATGATTGTGATCTTAACATTTGTAATATGTTGAATCATTAAAATTCTGATCAAAAACAGTAAAACCTGGAGACAAGATAATTATATAAATTTGAAAACAAAATACGAAATTAAAGGTATGCAATTGTTCACTAATTGTCAAATTGTTTATCTGGTGCAGGAAAATTGGTATCGTTAAAGTTATCACTGATAAAGCCGTAGGCTCTTTTTATTCTTTCATAATTATAGAAAAGATAGGTTATGTATTACAAATTCCCTTCATCAAAGCAAAAAATCTGCCACATCATTTATAATTATTTTAGTGATTTTGTATAATCCTTTGGGGAATTTAATTACATCACTAACCAGTTCAAATATGAGAGATTTTGCAGAAGAGACAATTAAAGGAATGTATATCAAATTGGTTAGTAACTACTAAAGCAGTAGTCAACAAAATCCTGACCTGGTGAATTGAGAAAAAAATCCCCACGAACGAAAGAGCTGCTACCATTCAACGACACATTATTAGAAGCTTGACAAATATAAAATCCTCTGTCGTGATGGCGATCTGTCTCTCCTTTGATGTTTGGAAGTATTAGTCTACCACTGCCATCGTCGGGAAGATATCTGATCAGATCATAATAGTCAGACTTATGTTCCCACTGTGTAAAGATATATTGATCTGGTACTCCATTAGCTAAACAATTTAATTGTCTGTAATGTCCATGCTCTTCGAATTTGATATGTACTTTTGGAGGATCTGCCAATTTGATAACAAACACATATTATAGTTGAGACTACAGTAGTGTACCGATGTTCAAATCGTCATTGATTTATGAAGTTTGAAAAGGATACTATTCTTAATTCGAATTAATCATGGGAAAATGGTCTTCGATATAGAAAATATTGACCAAAGAGCTACGTAATAATCTTAATAAAAAACAGTAGGTGCAGATATATAGTTCTACTTCATACTTAAATGCCACAGTAATCAAATGTCAGTTCAGATGTTTTGTCTCGATTTGTCGCATTTATTGAAGTATGCATCATTTCACATATTTGAAGGTAAAATGAAGTGAATAATTTTTTTAAAAGTAAATCTGCCATATATTTTTAACAAATTGCGTTTGTTTCATTTGCAGGGTTTACTCATCTGATCAAGACAACGTCCCGTTTTCCTCTGCAACTATTGTTTAATGATGAATATAATTTTCAAAAGACTCAATTGAATCTCACTCACTTGCTCCACTGATTAAAAAAAATCACCAAATTGTATGCTGCAAATTGTACAGATTTGATAAATATATCAGTTAGATTGAATTATATATTTGAACTTGTAATTTTTTTTTTGTGTTTTAGTGAAATTGTTTCGTTTTAAGTATTCAATTGTGCAATTATCAGCAGCCTATCTGGAGTAAAAATCAGGTACTCGCAGCATAGTGACTAGACAAACATGACCACGAGTACTAGTATTCGAAATGATATAAGACGATGACTTCAGTGTGCAGATTTGGTACGCTTATAACAACCTGGTTTTATTGAAACAATAAGTACTGAGTCATTCCTATAAAGGGCAATCTCGAATTGATCCGATGAGTTTCAAAAATAGCAATTTAATACAAGTGAATATTTTCTTATTTCTTTATTTATATGCATTTCATTGGCCATGTAAATGATGCGTAGGAACATTATACATCATATGAAATTATGTAGCTTTTGTTCAGTTAAATAATTTCTCATTGTGAAGTTTACAATCATGAAACTTACAGTATACGTCAATGGTCACAAAATCTGAAGCGATGCTGGCCATATTTGTGACAGTGCATTTGTACTTTCCTGCATTTTGTCTAGTGATGCTCTTAATGTTTAAATACGGTGATTGCTCATCCAATGGACTTTTATGTGGTAACATTTTCTGCCATTTCAACCCTTTTACTTTGTGGTTTGAACTGTAGTTGCAATACAATGTCAAAGCTTCTCCTTCAAAAATATCCAGGGTTTTATTGTAGGAAATCGAAACAATTGGCGGCACTATTTACAAAATAAAGCAAACACGATTACAGAAAATGTTAACACAAAATTTTAGTGTAAATCAGAAAAAACAATAATTTGGTTCAACATACAATGTCTCGATAAATAATTCTAAATTTAATTGATCTACAAACTATATTCATTTTCGTCTTACATTAAACTTTATAATTGTGTGGGTCCAAAGCGTTAAAAATCGGAAAGTAAGGGTGGTATGAATACAGAGAATCTTGTGAAGCGCAAGGGCAGAAATGACATGAACATACCAATTTAGAAGGCATAAGGATAAATTTGGAGATTTGAATGGGGGATCTATTTTGGTGTATTTGGTCAAAAAGCTTCTTACACGGCTATGTATGTTTACATTCCTGGTTTTTAGATATTCAGGCCCGAGAGTTCCTGATTAATCGAAAACATAAAATAACGCTTCGAATTTCTTTGACAACTATTGTAAAACATGTTTGTTATGTGCTTTGTCTATATGCCTTTTTATGTTTCTTTGTTACATATATGACGTGGCTTTGTACTTATACATCCCGTCATTGTGTTATTGTACTATGGGAAATTTGTGTATTCTTGTCCTTAATGTTTGCTTATATGCTTGGTCTATATGCCACTTTGTGCTTCTTTGTTACATATTTGTTTGTTTTTTTAGTGATTAAGATTATAACACAATGTTGACTGCTGTATTCCTATTTTTGACATTTTTACATATTATGTCTGTTTGTTTTGTTCACGCATCATTGTCAATATAATGGAATGTTATGCGACTGTCATGCTGAGAGGTTTAGCTATCTTTTAAACCAGGTTTAGTCCACAATTGTCTACATAAGAAAATGCCTGTACCAAGTCAGGAATATGACAGTTGTTTTTCATTTGTTTGATGCGTTTGAGCTTTCTATTTTGCCATCTGATTAGGGACTTTCCGTTTTGAATTTTCCACGGAGTTCAGTATTTTTGTGATTTTACTTTTTACATGCTACATACATGAGATAACTTACCTTTAAGTGCATGTTTGTAATAATTAATGTTTAATAATGAAACGACAAATATGATTTCTGACATCTATTTGCAAAATTTCTTACATAAAAACCTTCAAAACAACTGACAAACAAAGATATCAAGCATCACTATAAATTGTAACCAAGGCTTCACCACCATGTTTGAAATGTATGATTATGATTCAGAAAACATTTTTCTCTGATTTTTCTTTATATAGATATAAGAAGAACTTCAACTCAGAGCCTTGGCTTACACTGAACAACAAGCTATAAAGCGTCCAAAGCAGGACTGGGGTAAAATCATTCAAACGGGAACACCAACGGTCTAATCTATATAAAAACCGAAAAATTAAAATCCCTTATGAACCACAGTAGTAGTTTCATTATTAATACTGTAAATTTAAATAAATATACTGGTGAAGACATTTCATTTTATAACATTCCCGGGGAATTATTATAAATCTGGAGTGTTAAGTATGGAACAAACAAACCATGAATGTCATGAATGTAACTATATATATAAGTACTTACTGTAGACAAACAATTGAACAGTGCGCTCCATAACATATTGTGCGATAATGCTTTTTGTCGCACATGTATAATTTTTCAAATGGTCATCTTGTTTAGGTTTGAATGAATAGACTAACAATGCTGTTGTTTTTTCTTCAAGAATTTTGTTGTTAACCATCCACACTAGTTTTCCCTTTGGAATTCCGTGAATAACAGTGCAACTTAAATCCAATACACGATTCAGATATCCGTACACGATGTGTTGAGAATCTGCCTCTACTATCGTTAAGTTGCTGGGCCTTGCTAAAGTGTATCATATATATATATATATATATATACGTTTTATCAATGTTTGATTCCTTGCAAACTTGTATTTTGAAACACATATATTCACACACAATCAAAATAATACATTTTGAAATATACGAAAGCTAGTGCAAAAGGATAGTTTTAGAAGAACAATATATATAACACATGTACTTTTCAAGGTTACAAATAGTTTTAGTTAAACATATAGTACAACGTCAGGCCTTATACTAAGACTGTGAATATATTTTACATTGGTGTTGTATAGTAAATAAATCATAACATATTTGTGTATCATTTTACCCGTAAATATTGAACTCATCAATGATACCAGTGTTCTATGTTGGTACGCAAGACGCATGGTTTGTCTACAAAAGAATCATAAGGGTGAAAAAAAGATAAAAAAAAGAAAGACGTCGTCTGTTTTCAGGTGCTTGTGTCAAACCCAGGTCTTGACAAAGTCATTAAACAATTTGCAAACACATAACAATATGTTTAAAATTGTGTATGTTAAGAATGTATGCTGGTGTAATCACGTTTGATTCAAACTGTTTTATTAATAAAATGGTATGTAGCGATGTTTTATCAAAAAAGAAACTTTGAAATTGAGGATATTTTGAAGTATGTATAAACCTATAGTAATGACTTACTTCCAATTGTCAAATTAAAAAATTCCTCTTTTACACCTTTCAGTGATCCGCCTCTAATGCATTTGTACTGCCCTTCATCTTCACTGGAAAAATGTCTAATTTGTAAATTATACTGAAGACTTCCATTTACATGTATTATGGATAGTCTTTTGGATTTAGACAATTTTGGATCTATGATTTTCCCGATTCCATATGTAGAATAATTTCCTGGTCCCTGCCATACTATCGTTTCATTTAAGAATTGATAACATGGTAAGATGACTGTATCATCTTTAAAATGGTATAAAACGTTTTCAGCCGACAGTTCTGTAATAGTTTTACTAAAATGTTTTTAAAATATCAAGACACCATAAACATTCACTTTTTAAACGTATCACATGAAATGAAAGTTCATATGTAAAAATGATTATTATTAGTATAGTGCGCCGGTCACAGGTAAGGAATCTTTAGCCTATGATAGCCTAGCGTATTAGTTTTGTTTTTGGTGAATTGGTATGTTTTATTGTTTGGTAATGAGTCCATTTCGCTGAACTAGTATACATTATAGGTAAGGTGCAAGCCGAAGCCCGCCTCCGGCTGCAGGATTTTCTTGTTGCGTAAGAAAACGATAAGTAGCCGTGTGATATTTTTATGCTCTCTGTTCGGATTGTTTTCTCATTGCTATATACACATTCCCCATTTCCATTCTTTATTGTTACTATCATCATCAACGTTGCTTTGTCAATCATATAATTTCTAGGCAATACACGTATGATTATTTTTTAACATCTGTATCCAAACAGAAGAGGCGGATTAAGAAAATATATTCAAATAAAGTGATGGAAGACAAATTACTTTATCTGTCACGCCCTGAGTCTTTCGAAACAGTTTAACTTATAAAGAGACATGCTAGTAGAAATACAGAACAGTCGACTGTTAATTTCAAAAGAAAGGCAAAAGATACCAAAGGGACATTCAAATTAAAACTGATAACGCCTAGGTTAAAAAATGAAAAGACAAACAGACAAACAAGAGTACACAAAACATCATGAAAAATATACAATGCGACGTTTTCAAGCAAACAGTGGTTTACAATCTTACCTGAAAATTTAAAGAAAAGACTAAACAGTTGGGAAATTCTCATTTTCAATCCCTAAAATATAAATATATAATATTGACAAAATCTGAAAAATTTGATCAACCTGTAAATTCGTTACCTTTACTCATTATTGTATTTTTGAAAGTAGAATGAAATCAGCTTCAGTTTCGGGAAATATTAAACAATTTCTTTACATTTATTTTTTAAATTTCTGAGTTTGCGGAATTGTTGACCCTTCAAACATTACTGTGGCATTTCAGTCTTATGTTTTGTGGAAAGTTGTTTGATGATATCTAATTTTTATTTGGATATGATACTGTTTGTCCTTTTCAACTTTTTTGTGACATTTCACTTTCACATATTCCTTATTGGTAGATACAGAAAATTCATATAAATTTCAAAATGTAAAATACTTACCAGTATCTCTACATCATGATACAATACATGACTTTAATTTAAACATTTCCTCTTATTAGAGTTCAAAATATAAAAAAAATGATTTGTAACTTTCCTTCCTTTCACCTTGACAGGAAATAATTATGTAACATATGTTTGATTTCACGTTACACTTAGTTGAGTTCAATTCATTATAATTATCATCATTATTATTATAATTGTTATCATGTGTGGTATTTGAATAAAATCTGCTGTAGGTAGCATAGATAGATTTTCATAATCCATTTCAATGTATGTTGGCGTTTGTTTTTGTAGAATTTCAGTGTTTCTATTGTTCCGTTTTGTTTCCTGTTATAGTTGATGAGTTTCCCTAAGTTTTTGTTTGTGACCCAGATTTGTTTTAATTAATGTCGATGTATGACTATTGAACAGCGGTATATAATATTATCTTTATTTAAAAAAAAAAATAAGAAATTATTCATTATTTAGTTTATTTTTATTGCATTAATATGCGCTTCCATCATTGTTTATCTTTCTTCAGTTATCTGTATCTAGGAGGCCGTTTTTTAACATGAACAACCTTCTATCATATATTATATAAAGTTTGCATGTATCGTGTAACTTTTATCATTTAAAGAATATCATATCTTGCTCTTTTATGATATATATGGTCTAGGATATTGTTCTATTTAAATTTGTTATTACAAAATTATGAATTCAATATAAATTCACGATTTTTCTGTCTCATGAATGATTTTTTTCGGTCCAGAGTTGCAGTAACCCTCTATAAAGAAAAAAAATGATAGGAAATACAAGCCCGGGAATATCGTATCAGCGTTTTTGTATATAATATATTTTATTTAATTATATAACATGTATCCAGACACAATTTCTGTAAGTCATAGGTAGTTATACCTACTTTAGGTTTTTGCATATAAAGTCAAATAAAAACTCAGAGACATCGTGGTTCCGTCTGTTTTCACTAACATACACCTGACGCGTCATGATAAAGTTTTGTATCGGATCTGTAATGATATACTAAACTTCTGTCCGTATATAATATCATATCCTGTACAGGATATGCTACAATTTCTATAACTTCTTCAAGCCAATAGAATCTTTCCTATATCATTTATAAGGCAATCAATGAGAACTAATATATGTTACGTAATAATTTTAAGATGACACTGATTAATTTTGTACCGTGCTGCAATGCAAAAATGTATATATGATGTAGTTAATTGGTACCGTTAATGTTATCACTGTAAATTATATTGTGCTCGTAATATAAACTATGATAATATTAACGCATTTTTCCTTTGAAAATACTTTTATTAATAATGACATTTGTTTGTTCTTGTTTTTTTGATGATTTATTGTTACAATTTTCACTATTATATTGTTAATATTGCTCGAATATTAAGATATGATAAAACAAACTCATTGTTTCTATGAAAAAAATTAAATTGTTCTTCAACGTCATCAAATTAACATTGCAGTAGATCTATTAATATTGTCTTATTGTCAGATTCAGTGTGTTTTGTTCGATTAGAGCTGCGGCTCTTTTCACCGAAAATCTTAAGAGTAAAAATACTCGTAAGTCATACGTATTTCAGTGTAACTTAAAATCAATTGTACAGATTTTTTTTTACAGAGTATGATTTGCCTATAAGAGAAAACTATTGGTATCTACGTTGGTCATTATTAATTTTTAATCAAAGAAATACCTATTATTTCAATTTGTCTTCACGTTTGTCATTAAAGAATACTTGCGTTTTCAGAGATGTGCAACTCTGTACTTTATTTTGTCCTATAATTTTCTAATTCGAACGTCACTGATAAGTATTATGTAAACGAAAAGAGCGACTGACGTAAAAATTGTAAAACATTGTAACTTTTTATGAGTCATTGGTTACACCTCTATGTCACCTTATTTTTCCCTTTGTCATCGTGTCTTTGTATCTACTCCAAACATCTCTATCGTCGGTGTACCTATATTATGTAAATCGTAAGGTTTGCTGTGTAACTGTCACTCTTTACATACACCTATGGCCAACCCCAACCCTACACCACACTTATTATACAATACTTTCTAGTGTTAATTGCTCTCTCTTCCAACCGATCGCCTTTCTGTTTTCAATGTTTATGTCTAGCAAATCGTAAATACTATTTTTGATATAGGAACACCAAGGACTCCAACAATTTCACTTCAAAAAAATATGTTACTCAACAATACCATCAGTACTGGTTGCATATTTGATTTTTGAATATTTAAACAGTTCTGCTAATGTATTGTGAATAACAAATTCATAACCTTCTTTTTTTTAAAATTTTATAATAAAATAACAATATCATTTTAGTTCGGTCCGATATGCGATTATTTCCTTCATTTTAAGACAACAACTTCATCTCGTCAATACCTACACTTTTGTTTAGTGGATGATTCCCCCTTAAAATTTTCAATTCATATGAACCATTTTACACGAATAATAACTCTGTCAAACATTTAATCCAAACTAATGTCATAGTTTGAATTACAAGTAGAACGTCTTGTTATGAAGTGGAAGGGAAATTGCCAAGTTTTATCTGTACGTATATATGTCTTTGTTTATATGTTTTTACCTTTTTTCAATGAACTTCAACTGTTATGACACTGCATTTATTTAACAATGTCGTTTAAAATATACACATTTTGGTTGTGATTTTGTTTGAACTAGTAGACTATGTTACGATAGCACTTGAATATGTGTTCGTTTTATTAGACAAAACAAATAATCAAATAGTATTTATTTTGTATTTAGTAAATTTCATTTTCCGAAAATCCGAATCCTAAATACATGACTTAAAAAGTATCAATTATTTACTTTTACTTTCGCTTTCTGGTTTACCAGGAATTTAACGTCCTGGGTCTAGTACTTTTATTATATGTGCTTTGATATAATAAACACAGATCAAATCGTTAAAGGTAAGAATCTAGGATCATTGCTTTTTAAGTACATTCTACCCGGCAAAGATTTATTTTGCATCCGATCATTTTAAATCTATTGTTATTGTCAATTTTATAGCTAGATTTGCAAGGTATTCACTTTATAATTGTATATTACCTTTATATATGGCTTAAAGTATTTGTCCTTTTTAAAGAATACGTACTGGTGATTTTAACATATATTTGCATTAACAAAAATAATACTTTTTCCTCTTAATTGGTTTTTAATTGATATGTGTTGGTTGTTCGAAATATGAAATTTATATAACACATAAAACATATTGATAATCATATCGATAAAAGACACAACATTCAATTGAAAATCACATTTTACTAATATATTACTTTTACATCTGACAATTGACCATACTCTTATGTTTCGGGATATTGAACAGTATAGTTAGAGAAAAATGAAAATAACACTATATAGATTATATTCTTCCAAATCACTTTTCTTTAAATGAGTGCTGGGTGGTCACACACAAACATATTTCACACACCAAATCCCATATCTGCCTTCCCCAAACCAGGAGCCTGTAATTCAAATGTTGTAGTTCGTTTTTATCTGTAATATTGTTGTTTTTTTTGCCATTGTTTTTTCGTTTCTGTTTCCAATGTATTGAATATGTCACTTCATAAATGTTTGTTACCTGAAACTTTTGTGATACCCCCACTGGTTATATATATGGATATTTAGATAGTTATTTAATGGTATTATGAATAATAGTCATTACCTACTTATCCTAGTTATAATGAAATAAAGAGATCAGTTCAGTATTCGATCCGATATGCACTTATGTTATTTATTATAAGAAACAAAATCCTTCGTCACTACTTATTATATCTATATATTGATGAACCTATTTGAAAGTTTGTTTTAATTCATATGCAATATTCAAATATGGTGAACGATTTACACCAATACAAAAACTGTGCATAATATGTTATCTATAATAATGTCATGGTTTGAATTACACATAGAACGTCTTTTTGAGTAGTAGTGGAAGGAACATTGCCAAGTGTTTTATCTGTATGTATATAATATTAATATATATGTTTTGATTTTGTTTTAAATTACTTTAAGTTGTTTCACATCTCTTTTTTTCTTCTTACAAGTATGAATATATTGTCTCCGGATATTATTGAACGAGTAGACTATTTAATACAAAAGTCAATTCGTCGTATAAGTCAAACGAAAAATATTTGAGAAAGGGTTTATATTCATTTTTTAAAAAACCTCCAAAGGTTATCTTGAATACGTCAATTTCAGAATCACAAATTATAAATTATTTTATTTCATATTCTCTTCCTGATCTACCAAGAATTCAACGTTCTTGTTCTAGTACTCTTATAATGCGTGTATGCAAATGATATGACAATAGAAGTTGTCATTCGTTAACAGGAAGACTTAACCATCACTGGTGTTCAGTTGTTCTATTGTATTATGTAAAAGAAACATCATCAGGGAAAATCAGCAACTATATTTGTTTACCTTTCAACTATGTTTGTATGTTTTCCATTGTTAGATAACCTTTTTGGTCAGTATACAACCTAGAGTTTATATCTAAAACACTTTTTTAAAAGTGTTTTAAAAGGATAATTAGTTTGCAAGTACAACTTTATTATTGTTTACCTTTTATGCTATCGTAGTTTACTTATCAAATGACCTATTTAATTTGAACAACATAAATACTCTTAAATAGGACAGGTAAATATATACTACTACATATAATAAATAGTATGTAAGCGATAAGTACAACAAGTGACAATTACACGCATTATTAAAAAGGCGGAACTAAGTTTAATGTATGAAAGTCTTTGATTTAGTCAGTTCCGTATAACATTTGACAAATTAGAAAAGTAAGTATTCAATAGAAGACGTTACATTAGGTTTTTGGGAATATTTGACTATGTAAAGTGACCGCAAATTGAGACCTTGTATTCAACGATTACTAATCAATGTTGATATAATTGAGAATGAAAATGGGGAATGTTTCAAAAAGACAACAACCCGACCAAAAAGCATCAAAGTGACTTCTTTTTCAAGATTGTTTTATCTGTCGAAAAAAACAGGATAATTCTAGAAATGTTTTGGTGAAATTAACATAGTCGCTTAAAGTATCTATTTTCCAGTGATAAAATAAAAAAAAACACTATTATTGAACTATATACAATCAAACTGGAAAAACGTGACTTGCTGCTTGGCAGATCATATATTTTATCTGTACGGAAAACTTATGCGCGAATGATATCAGCTTAGATTTGATTTTGGACACTAAAATATTTGCCATCAAGCAAATGTAGCATACAGATATACATGTATATGTAAAATGTATGTTCTTGATTGTTTATTTTGTTCGTGCTTAAATGTACTTGTAATTATATGTTTTTTTAATATAATTAGTATACTTGTGTAAAAAATGAAAATCTTCAGTATACTTGAGGAAATAAAGAGAATCGATCAATGTCTGTACCAAGTCAGGAATATGACAGTTGTTATTCATTCGTTTGATGTGTTTGAGCTTTTGATTTTGCCATTTGGTTAGGGACTTTCCGTTTTGAATTTTCCTCGGAGTTCAGTATTTTTGTGACTTTACTTTATTTTATATATACACGGCTATTAACCATATTTTGATTTTATCTTTCATAAAGGACCATAAAACTGTATTGTCAATTTGTTTAAAGTGTTTGCAACTGGTTTGTTTTCATTTTACAAGATCAACGCAATCGAATGTAATAAATTAAGTGGATAAACTAATATCGTTTGTTCTGTAGTAAATATTTGTCTCATTGGCACATCTTATTTTTTATGTTTTATATATTCCTCTGATTACTTAAAAAAAACATACCCGATTTATTCTATACAAATACTGATAGCGTGGCGTATTCACGATTTTTGTCAGTATTTTTTATATGCAATTCTCTTCTTGAATTTTTAAACGCAATGTTCTTTAAACCGTGAATATTTATATGCTATTGTTTTTTTTTCCGAATATCCAATACATATCCTTATATTTGTTAATATTTAATTGCCTCGAGTAAACATACTAACATCTCATCTTCTAAGAACATCAAAACATCCATTTTCCTTTGCATTAGAGTTGGTGATATCACACAAGTTTTCACTTTTGTACGGATACAGCAGGAGTCAAATACTATATGTCCTTACGCTGTTCCCGCTGAACAATTTGAAAATTAATAATAAAACTTTGCTTTTTTCTTGAAGGTGTAATGTCGATGGAAAACATGAGTTGCGTTAGTGTAGTGTTACGTTATCACAAGTTAATGACAGTTCATCGTTTAAAATCGTTTTGTTTACACCTTTAGAAAGCAAATTGTTGTGGAACACATGACACAGATGTTGATACTGTTGAAGTACTGCAAATAACAGATTTAAGTGAAACTAATGCAGCAACACAAACACAGTTGATGTGTAACCGTCATCAGATTATAATTTCCTGCATAGTATATCATACAATGAATAAATGTAACACATACATTCTGGAACTGCAAATGGAAAATATGAATCTATACACTCAATTGAAAACGTTTCGTGTAATTACAAACTGTGAATGCTTTGCAAACAACAAATGTATTATCCCATCATTGCATCTGCTCAATATAAACAGGAAGCTTGAAAATAGTGGAGAAGCTGAACATCAAGTTAAAACCATAATAAAGAAGATACATCGCAATAACAAATTAAGAGAGACACATTCCAAGAATTTTATAATGTAAGTATTTAATCTATCAAAATTATATTTGCTAAGATGAACATTATTTTACTAACTTATATAGAACGATAAACACATACAATGCACTAACATTTATTATGATATATTGCATTTCGTTTTTCTTTTCACATCACTACAAACCAGTAAAAGTCTGAAATGGCCTATATCTGTACTCGACTGTATTGATTATTACTCGACCTGCCTGAATTGGTCTACAATTTACTTGATAACACTCGACTGTAGTCTGAACCATACTTAACAGTCTGAACTTGTACTAGACCTTTACTCAACCAATACTTAACCATTTTATTTTGATCTGAACCATGCTCGACGTAGTCTGAACCATACTCGACCTAGTCTGAACCATACTCGACCTGGTCTGAACCATACTCGACCTGTCTTGACCAGTCTTGACCTTCAAATTTAGTCTTGACTTGTCTGAATCAGCTCATCTAACTCAGTAATATTTTGATCTTACAAAATTCCAGGTTTTTTGGTATTTTGGTTCATTGCTGTCAAATTAAAGGATTTAATTAATAGGTAAAAAAAGGAAGAATTTTCAGTTTTGATTAATCTCAAATAGTCATCTTTAATTATTTCTATAACTTTTTCAAATCAACTTGGATTTCCATAAAACTCTACAGCTATCTCAATTATATATTGATCTTACTGAATTCCAGGTTGTTTTGTAGATTGGTGTATTGCTGTAACATTTTAGGATTTAATTAATCTAGGTAAAAAAAGCTAGAATTTCAGTTTGTACTAAATTCAAAAAGTCATCTTTAAATTTTTTTTATAACTTTTTTCAAATCAACTCGGATTTTCATCAAACTATACAGCTATCTCACTTATATATTGATCTTAGAGAATGCCGGTTTTTTGGTACTCTTGTTAATTGCGGTTAAATTTAAGGATTTAATTGATAGGTAATTTTAAATGAGCTAGAATTTCAGTTCGGATTGAATTCTGATAGTCACCTTTAAATTTTGTTTATTACTTTTTCAAATTAACATGGATTTTCATAAAACTATACAGCTATCTCAGTTGTATATTGATCTTCCTAAATTCCAGGTTGTTCTGTTGTTTGGCATATTGCTGTCAAATTTAAGGATTTTATTAATCAAGGTAAAAAAGCTAAAATTTTCGGTTCGGACTAAATTCAGATAGTCATCTTTAAATTTTTTTATAACAATTTCAATGCAACTTGGATTTTCATCAAAATCTACAGCTATCTTCATTATATATTTATCTTACAAAATACCAGGTTATTTTGTAATTTGGTTTATTGCTGTCAAATTTGAATATTTAAGTTATAGGTATCTATCTAAATTTAGTCAAAAGTAAAATTTTTTAGCTTTTTATAAGTCCTTAAATTTGAGAGCAATACACCAAAATACAAAATAACCTAGCATTGTGTTAGGTAAATATATAATAAAGATAGCTGAAAATTTTGATGAAAATCCAAGCTGATTTGAAACAATTATAAAATTAAAAAAATGACACATTTGTTTTGTTAAACCAAGAATTTAATATAATCATGATAATAGAACTTTCATAGCAATCATTGATAACCTTTTAAAAAAGGAAATGTGTTTTAAAGTTACAGTAAAAATGTATTTCATTTAAATTTAAATAATTTTTGTCAAAATTATAGACATGGCATACAAGAAGCACTTAATAAGGTTTAATTACATCAGTAATGTGTATTTTATAGGTGAAAAGAAAGCCCTACTTTTCTAAAACTCGTGTATTACTTATCTAGTGAATTCAATAGGCCTTGCGATTTAATTTTACACGATGTTGTAATTTTGAGTGAATGTTATTTAGAATTTAATACTCTTTGACCAGGTGTGATTTTTTTAATGAGTTTGCCCCAAGCAGGAGGTATAACGTTATACTTTACAACTAATCAGAAGACAATTGTGTTCATTTCTTGAATTTTTATCGCTTTTTGATATATATTATATACAATACACAAATTATTATAAGAATAGATATATTTCTTATATAAGTAAAAACAATTTAAGTAATTTTGTTGGCTATTGTTACCTCATTTAAATGATAATTATATTGTTACCTCATTAAAAAGATAATTATATAACCATTGTGTGTAACCATGAAACATATGGAGTTTTTATGTAGGAATTTAGGAAAATTAAGTTTATAAAAAACCACATGCCAAACAAGAAGTACCATAATAGGGTTTTATTACCCGCAGTATAGGTGCTGTTTTTAGGTAAAAGAAATCTTTTTTTCAACACAACTCTAAAAATTAAAAATTGAGATAATTAAATTAAAAATCTGTTTTTATATATATATCTGTATTTTATTGTGGTTTTTGTCATGGCAGTTAATAAGAAATTTATTTTAACAGTTAAAGTTAAAAAAGTAGAGGTTATTTGGTCAAGTATGGTTCAGACTAGTCAAATATTGTATAGACCTTTGGTCGAGTATGGTTTAGACTGAAAAAAATAGTTAGAGAATGTGTTAAGACTGTTTCAGACTGGTCGAGTAATAGTTCAGACTATTTCCAATGGCAAAGATAAGGGTCAAGTACTAATCAGTACAGTCGAGTATGGTTAAGACTGGGGTCGAGTAATGTCGAGTAAAATTCAGACCAATATAGACTGGTCGAGTAAAAATCAGTACAGTCGGGTACAGATATAGGCCATATGGATCATAACACACAACTGTATAGTATTATCTATTTAAGCGAAATGATTTTTTTGATATAACGAAGATATCGCAATTCATCGATTCAGATCATATATAACAAAATCACTAAATTGGTATGCATGACAACACAATCTAAGCGTATAATCGTCTCAATAACGTTAGCAAATGACAACTAACAAAACTATCATACATACCGGCGTCATATAGAATGTTTGTTTTTAAGTCATAAGGCTGAATAGAAAGTGTATTTTGATATTTATTCATCCCGTTATTTTGTGATTGTGCTATGGTAATTTTTGTAATCTTATCTTTCGTTTTTTCGCTTATGTGCTTTGTTTCTATGCCTTTTTGTTTTTCTTTGTTGACATATTTGTTTTTTTTTTCATGGTGATTAAGATTATCACACAATGTTGACTGCTGAAGGTTGACAGCTGTATACCTATTTTTGATATTTTTACTTATTATGTCTGTTTGTTTTGTTCACACATTTGTGTCAATAAAATGGAATTTTAAGCGACTGTCATACAAGATACATCCACCATTTTCTACATACGAAAATGTCTGTACCAAGTCAGTTATATGACCGTTGTTACCCATTCAATTGATATGTTTAAGCTTTTGATTTTGCCACTTGATTAAGGACTTTCCGTGTTGAATTTTCCTCGGAGTTTGGTATTTTTGTTGTATTACTTTTTTTAACGCAATGTTTGCTATATGATCACTCACAGTACAAATCTGTAGTGACATCTTTATTTTTTTTTTCACAGACGGTGTAGTCGTTCAACCAAATATGTATTACTAGTCATTATAGTACTATGGTATGCAGCGAAAGCAAACAGCGCAGATGGTAAATATATTTTTAGATAATTAATTATTTCAGATAGCAATTGATTTAGCATATGTCAAATGACTCATACAATAACTGAAGAGGGAGTAGGCGCGATAATGAACGTACATGATAATAAACGTACATGGTCCATAATACAATATTCATTATTTGATTGAAAAGTGTTTCAGGTGGAGGCATGAACATTTGGTAGTAACGTTAAACATCGAAAATAAACTGACAACGCTATAGCTAAAAAAGAAAAAGACAAACAGACAAATAATAGTACACCAGACACAACATTGAAAACGAAAGACTCAGCAACACGAACCCCACCAAAACTTGGGGTGATCTCAGGTACTCTGGAAGGTTAAGCAGATCCTGCACCACATGTGGCACCCGTCGTGTTCCTCGTGTTATCCCAAAACCCGGTAAATAGTCTAATTCGGTAGGTCACATTCGTGGAAAGGGAACGGGATTGTAGTTACGACATTAGGAACATATCCGATATCATCTGTGAAACTGATATTCCGTGACGGTCAACCAACTCGTGATGGCGTCCGTAAAATTTACGAAGGGATGATTTCTTCCTACCTTTTGGAACTCTTAGTTTAAAAGCTTTTTTTGTGAGCAGCAATCCTCTATCAAGAAAATCATGATACTATGGATTCATTATTATTCGTTTGATACCAATTTTCGTGGATTTCGTGGGTACAGGTGAACCACGAATTCAAATGTTCAACGAACTCCAAATTTTCTTTAGGGTTGTATGCAGATTTTTGCAAAACCACGAAATTAAATATCCACGAAAATGCAGGTTTTTTCCAATCCACGAAAATTGGTACCCACAAAAATAAATGAATCCACAGTAAGAAATACAAACCTGGGAATGTCGTATTAATCGGGAGATATATACTCCGTATGCAGGCGCTGCTGGAATGGTGCTACATATAAATTGAAAGTTCACAATTTGAAAGCTGAAATCATCTCTTTTGTCGTAAAGTTTTGTTTTCAACCGACAATAGGTCTCGTTAAAATCCTGAACAATATCCCCCGTGAATTGAGTTTGAGCAAAACAGAAAGTACTTACTTTCTCATTTATTTCAGGACCAATTACTAGACACCATATAGTTTTCAGATTTAGTGTAATCAAAGGTTTCTTATCACACAAGATATAAGATTTAATTCTGTATCAATGACTTTTGGTTATTACCTAAATGATTTTAGTTTCTGTTATCGTGTGTTATATTGTCTGGCGACAAGCAGTATATATCACAAATATTCTAGTCTGTCCAAGGTTAGGGAAAGCACACACAAACATGTTCAAGTCTGTCACATTCGATTTATGTCATATATGTTTTTGATTTTAGTTATGTTTTCGTTTGAACCGTTTCAAGTTTAGTCTATTTTGGCGCAGTTTATATCTGACTATACGGTAGTGTGTTTTCTCATAGTTGAATGTCGAGCCCTGAAGGTTGGCTTTATTCTGCTCTTTGGTCGGGTTGTTGTCTATTTGACACATTCCCCATTTTCATTCTCAATTTTATTGTTTACATCCGCGTTATTTGTATGTTATAACTAGTATTGAGTATTTTGAAACTCGCAATTTTTTTGTTTTTATGACTGTTTTTGTGCGAGCACATTGGCAGATGTTCTGTCTCTATTTTTGAATTACTGTAGCAATAAAAATTATAATGATAAACAAAGTGTAGCTAGATCTAGTTCAGTATACATATACGTTTGATTCGTGGAAAATATAATTCAAACATCAGATGAAATTAAGCCACTTCTAACTGATTTTTTCTTATAGTCGAATGTTGTGCTGTATCCCTCCTTATGTGAAGGGATTAACGTTCGCAAACATGTGGAATTTGTGATTTCTAAATATGAATGTTACTTATTGTTGAAGGCTGTACATACATGATAATTTCTATATAGTCACCACTGATTTGACAGATACTCATATCGTATGGGTCAACCAAAGTATGATACGGAACGTAAAACGTTCTGTTATGTTGGTTTCAGTCGTTCTTGAAAATAAGGCTTCTACTAAAAATAGAGGATTAAGTATTTCATCATGAATCACATAATGAAAAATTTCAACAAGAATCAATGACAAACGTCAACATAATGTTAGTGTGTCTTTTGTAAACATTCTCAATTTTCTCAATTGAATTGTTTCATATTTCCCATCTCGGGTCTTTTTATAGCAGACCATACGGTATGGGTTTTTCTCATTGCTGAAAGCCATACATTTGCCTATATTTGAACTTACGTGGATCGTTGTCTCATTGCCAATCATATACCACATCTCATTCTTTTTATACAAATCAAAATGACCGTTTCAGATCAACACTGGTTTAATTGTGTGCAATCCCCTAGTGTGAGTTTATAATTTCATTTGCATATTCTGAAAAGAATGATGATCTTTGGATGGCCATTATCATGACTACTGCCCCTGTTTTTGTTCAATAATTACCAAATTTTCAAAGGAAGATGGAATACATGCATTGGTACACACGAGTATTGAATGCATAGAAAGAAGCTGTTTTACACTGGTTCTCCGTTAAAGCGCCCATTTTATGACGTTAATTTGTCCCACCGTAATAAAGCAAAACTAACGACTTCGAATTATATACCCGTAGCTTGTTATACTTATTTCTGAGATTTTTATATTTCTTTATTATCTATATTTAAAATTTTTACAAAGTTTAGTACATATTGCACCACGATAGTGATCGTACCGGCCGTCGAAATGTTTTCTTCGTAAACCTGTTATTTCCGTTAATGGATAAAAGATCAAGCAGGACAAAATATTCAGCACAACATAGAGTGTGATATGAGTTAAATTTGATTATAAGGTTACCATAAATAATTTTGTTTATAACAATGGTCATTTATTCCAAATCATACCAGTCTGAAAAACTAAAAAAAGTTGAATACTGCAAAGATTTGTTAAGCATGTAATCTCCGTGGAATGGTCTATTCTAAACAAACGCCAATTTTGAAAATAAATTCTACATCCAACAGATCGATATCGGTGTCAACATTAAATTTTAGTACAACTTCTATCTTCAGATACACATATTATGCTTTATAAATGATGAAATCATCGAAATATAACCTCCGTGGAATTTAATCTCCGTTGACATTTTGGTAAAGAGTGCTTTCTATCACATCCGCACTTTTATCGAGTATGGCATGCCAAATAAACATTAGATAATTATCACGGATGGCGCGCGAATATATAAATTACAGACCAATAACATACATTGTAATTCAGGCGACATAAGAAGACACCATGTAACAATTCTTATTTATCAATTGTTTAAGTGTAACAGAGTTGCTTTTATCTCAGATCTAGAAAAAAAAAAAACCCAAACCGGATTTATATCAATATTAATATATGCAAGTAAATAATTTTAACCCGTTTTCAATATTCAAGATATGAAACTTTTATTATTAATATAAGTTTGATACCGAATTTAATACGATGTAACAATTATGCAAGTAGCCATAACAATTGCTCTGCCTAATGAGTTTTATATCATGTTGCACAGGGAGAGAAGCTTTTAATTACTTTCTTTCATTAAAATGAAATTACGTCGGCTGAGAGGGCGTGGTATATATTGTCCGTTACATTTATTAAAAACACCATGTACAAATATTATTTTCGAAAATAAATAGTTAAATAGATCAAACAAAGCTATCTGTCACAATGATATATGACGGTTTGGATTAGGGAAGGGGGTCTAAATTTCTGTACTTTGTAATTCTTTTGGCCATTTTTCTCTATTCAGTAAGAAATATGCTTATTATGTAAAATTCTCGTGTTCAGTTCCTGCATATGAAATTAAATTTCCTGTTGTATCACAATTTTGACATGACAGATCTTCTTGTTCGTATCAACGACATACGTATGACGACATTACCCCGTACACCCCTTTTTTTGGAATCTGTCACTGAACTGCACAAATGATACCATTTATCAATTTTGATTAATATTTGATTAAAATCAAAGGGGGAGAAAAAAAAACTATTTTAATTTCTTCGTGATAATTTGGATATCTGGGATAATAAACAGAGGTTAAGATGACATGAGGTATATTTGATCATAGTATATTTGGTTTGTTTTATGAGGTACAGAACTAGTACTGAGAAGCTGAACATTCAGTTTTATAACAGAGACAGTACCGGCAGTTAACCGACATTAAGAGAAATCTGGAATCTGATAGAATAAAAATTCGATCTCCAGAACTAGATTTTATTCTTGATTACCCAACTGTCCAACAAAATATAAAAACATTTCCTATCAATCAATTGTTTTGGAGAATATTAAAATATAATTACATTACATGTATGTATGTTTCATTATAATACGTTATTTTGATTGGCTAACAGCAATCTCGCGTCATTCTGAAATTAACCTTCATTTAAAAATGAAATGTAACATTCATGATGACACGAGCTTCCACAATAAAGTGCACAGGTAAATAAAAGAAAAACTTGATAGAAATCGTGTTTTGATGATCCAAGCAAAAAAATGTAATTATAAGTATTGATTGCTTCTTTAAGTAGTTTTTATAGGGGTGTAAAAGCGTTGACTGTACGCACATTTTTAAAACGAAGCGCTTACGCGCTTTATACAAAATGTACTTCGGTCAACTCTTTTACACCGCAATAAATTTACAAAAAGAAGCATTCAATTCTTAAATATTTAACATTTATTGGTACTAAAAAAAAATATTATACCCCCAAAAAATCTAAGACAATGTCATCCGTCCTCAAGCATCAATCTTCCAGCCCTAACCAATAAATTGTTGTTTGAATTATAATGAGTTATGGATCTTACAAACATGAAACTGAAGACGTAGGAATTATGACAGCGTTCTGATTCTGCAATTCCTTTCAATTCCCTTTAATTGTCCATTTATAAATTTAGAAATTATAAAAAAAACAAAGGTTTCAGCTCTATCGGGCAAAGTTAATCTTCGACTGATTTGGCTATTGTTTTTATATCCTTTTGGTCAGATAGCTCATCAACTCTTTCTGTTCTTTTACATCATTGGCTTTAAAATATTCGGCGCTGGGCGTAAATGATGAAGATAAATTCAAAACACTATTGCAGAGTTTTTTGTTGTCAATGGTTATTCTGGTCTGACATCTGTCACGACCTGTTTTATCAGTGGTGTAAAATGTAATCATTGTGACACAATGCAGGAGAAGGATGTTAGGTTAACTTTGTCTGCAATAGGATAGGAGACGAAATGATACGTTAACTCGTGCAAGATCGTGATTTTGGAGAAAAACACCGAGGATTATGAATGTATAGAATTTGCATCGCTAATTTCAATTCTAGTTCCGATTACGACCAGTTCAACATTTTATTCCAAATAATCTACTATTCTATTGTCAATTATCAATAATAAATTTGATATGCAGAAAACGCAAAGTTTCATTATTCTGTAAATCGTTTATTTCTGAAAACAGTATTTTTTTTTTACCTTATCCTTAATTTTTATACAATTATTTTTAAAAATACATTTTACCACCCCATTATTTTCTATTCCTTATTTGATTGCCTTTTTTTTTGTGGGGGGTCGGGGGAATTATTTCTATTCTATAAACCACCTCATATATCTTGGGTTATTTCAAATAAATATCTGATATTCAATCGGAATAGGATGCATAATACTACTAGAATAAGAGTATCAACAAGGAGAAGCTGTTTAATTGGTCTTTTTTGGTAGTCTCTTTTTAAAATTTAAGTCGGTGAGATTAATATGCTACAACCAACCAACAAAGAGGGTTGCCTACTATGAATAAAAAATCTATGGAGAATGTTTTTATATTTTATATTTTGCTGATTGCTTTTTTGTCGTGTGTCTCTCGTCGTGGTTTTGTTTATATATATTTTAATCGGTCATAAATCTGCATGAAATAGTTGCCACTTTACGTTTAGAAAACAACAATCAATAAATCATATCTCCTCTAAAATTGCAGTATTATAATAACTTTAAACATTATCAAATAAGTGATTCGTTTAATCCTTTGGTCAGATATAAACACGTCTCGTTACTCTTTTATTATTTCAAAATGTCCGATACAAAGAAAAAAGTATTATTGAATATCAAAGGAAGTAACCCATCAAAGATACAAGAATTGTGTTTCGTCTACATAGAAAATTCTTAGTTATTCAAACTATGAAAATCAAGGGATGAATGCATTATACGCCATTTTAGTGCAATTTCGAAACAGTTGATTTTATATACAAATATGACCACATCGATGATAATTCATGGTAACACAGATTGGCAAACTAGATGATGATGATGATGATGAGAAGGAGGAGGAGGAGGAGGATTCAGCGGCGAATTATATGCATATTCGGGTCGAAAGCATGTTACGATATTAATATTAATCCTGCCTTGTACAAGACCGACATGCTGAGTCGATTTTTTAGCGTACTAGTTCACAAGGAAACAGTCCTCAGGAAGATGTAATACCGAAATTCGAAATTTATGTTGAAGAGATAAAGAAAAAAAACGGACATAATATAAAGCAGACATGGCTGAATATTCCTTAATTTCAACTCACAAGAAAAACGCACATTAAAGTTTATGTGAATAAATAAAGATAACAAAACACCGTAAAAGAAATTATTTAAAGTTTTTAGCATTTTTGGTATTGAAAATCACGACGTCAAAGGAAATAAATTAACGTTAAATGTATTTGTTTGACATTTTTTCATCTAAACTGTCTCGATCATTACAAATTAACGGTAGCATATTACATGCTGAAATTTATATGGTGGATAGAATATACTATGAGGATGTTACATTTTCTTTATTTACAAGTTTTGCTGCAATTTATATTTTATCATTTTTTACTCTGACGTTGGGCGCTTTACCGGAGAACCAGTGTTTAACGTTATTTAGTTCATAGTTTATATTTGTTTATATAGTTATATAAGTTTATGAATACAGCAACGCATTAATTTAATTGGAGGACATTATTTTCATGCAACAGAAGTAATACAGTGGAAACTAATGACTAAGCCTGTGTATTTTGGAAGAAACGTTATTCTTGAATGCATTATACAGACAGAGGACAAATCAGCTCCAATGTTATGGACTAAGCTACCAAGCGGTAAAACATTAGCCTACAATAAAAACTCAAGAGACAATGACAAGTATGCAGTTACTGTTGAATATCATGAGAGGAAAATGGTATACAATCTTACTATAAAACATTTTAACTCAACGGACGTAAATCAAGTGTATAAATGTGATTTCGGATTTCACTCTTATTCAGGCAATCTTTTGCTAAATGAAAACGATTTCATCTGTAAGTAACAAATTATCATATAATCTAAGGTGTTTTATATCCTTTCCTTAAATTATTTGAATAAAGGAGTTATGCGGTACTAGTACTCGTAAAACTTTCTAAACTTGATGTTCAATTTTAAAACAAATCAAATATGATGTGTTTGCTACTCTCTGTTCAGCACAACGTTTTTTTTAATGAAAGAAGCTGCGCTTACGTCAGAAAGGACAGTTCTTAAATTTTTCAATCTGATTTTTGAAAACAATAAATTGTTGACAAATAGTGTAGATCTACCAGTTGTCTAATATACAGAAAAATGTTTACTGATACAATCTGTTGTTCTTGTAATTTTGTTTTCTTTTTTATGTCATTATCATTTACGTTTTACCGTAACACCAAAATTAAACCCAGTTTATGACTTCCATTTATTATTGTTTGTTCTTTGAACTTTATTACTTTGTTTTGTCAGCGGAACCCTCAGTAAGAAATATGAAAAACTTCAGCTTAGATAACAGGAAGTTGAATGGCATTGTGATGATTTACAATGGTTATCCAAAACCTTTTTGCTCGGGAAAATTTGAGGTAAAAGCATTTTATTATAATCTGAATAAGTAGACGTAGTATGATGGACCATTCGTTTTGAATATTCCTTTGATTTTAGTATTATCATCTTATTTTTTACCACTTGTTATAGAACCATTTTTGGTATATTTAATTGGTTACAAAGAGAACCCGGTCTTCATCACGCAGTAAAAAGTAAAATCACAAAAATACTAAATTCCGCGGAAGAATCAAAAAGGAAAGTCCCTAATCAAATGGCAAAATCAAAATCTCAAACATATCTAACTAATGAATAACAACTGTCATATTCCTGACTTGGTACAGGCATTTTCTTATGTAGAAAATGGGATAAAAGTTGATTTTATAGCTAGCTAAACCTCTCACTTGCATGACAGTAAATGGTCATTCAGCAATCGGGCAACTGTTCAATTGTAATTCGATATTCCTTTAGACCGACTTAAACAGTCCGATAAAAGTAAGCCTTCAAACTGTTTGAATTCGCGCGCCGATGCTGTAATATCTGCATCAAAATGCGTTTTTACTAACTAAATGTCAAGAGCTCTAATTCTGGTGTTGACACGAAATAGCAGTGATGCATTCAAAGTCTCAGTAATTGCCTGTTTGTAAAATTTAAAGTAATCTGAACGGGTACATTTTTCTAAAATCAAGCAAAGAGGACCTTATCAAGATATGGCATAATATTTTAAAATTCAGCATTGATTTAAGCACCTGGTATTTTTCTAAATCCACTTGATCGAATTTTAGAGAGAGAGTGAGAGAGCGAGAGGATAGAGAGAGAGTGAGAGAGCGAGAGGATAGAGATAGAGAGAGAGAGAGCGAGACACGAAGGTTCCAGGACGGATGTGATGTTAGTAATAAATTACAGACAAAAGTTGGAGAATTAATTTCTAATTTAAAGTCAAATGTGAAAATTTATCTATTTATCTATTTGTGAACAAAACTTAAATTAAGCAAAACCGAAAAATCAAAAATACAATAAAAATTAGAGACTGGTATCAAGCAAAGTGATTCGATTTTAGATACATATATATATATTGATTAAGTCGCAAAACTGATTTAACAATCTTTATTTCAGGGAGAGGAAATTTCAAAGTTCATGAATATTAGTATTAAAAACATTTCAATATTCTACGAAACAAAGATAGAACTTGACTACATAACAGATATGTGTACAGGTACTGTCAATGTGACATGTACTTATGGTAATCACAAAGTGCTGATCACTCAACTCATACATGCATGTCCAGGTTAGCAGTTACATACATTTAAACATTCTCATTAGGTCAAACACAATATTGAAGTTCATTCGTAGTAGATATATTCTATTGAATTAACATTTGCAAGGAACATCAATACAAAAACCAGTTGATCGGTATTGACGGAATTTAATTTCTTTTAGTTTTGCTTTTATATTTGAATTGAATAAAATTTTGCAATATATTGGTAACGTGAAAGCAGCAATTTCAAATTGAAAACGCTAAAGGGTTTTAATCCTTCTATTTGTCGCATTGTTTTGACTTTCATGTTCTCATAGGTTTTACATTTTGATTTTCCAGTTTTTATTCACTAAACTATCGAAACAAAATTCATTACACTGTTACAAAAAAAAAAGATAAAATCACAAAAATACTGAACTCCGATAAAATACAAAACATACTAAACAATCGATTGCAAGCCTCATTTTTGACACGAACCAATTTAAAATGAAATAATTGCATACCCATCGTCTGTATTGAAATGGCGACAAAAGAAAGCTAATTCATTTTAATCATAACAACTTATCATCCCATGCAGACGATTAAGTATGGCATGATTTTGTGTATCAGAAATAAAAAAAAGTTATGATAAAAAGATGTATGTTTTACATATGTTATTGCAATATTTTGCAATGTTATGAAACAGTTGTATTCACATTTCATAGCCTTACATGTAAGCCTATGATAATTTAGAATTCATATGTATGTTACACATTAATATGTTTTCAATCTCAGAGTTTAAACAAGCTCTTTTGGTGCAACCTGTGCATCAGATCTATCGTATCAAATTTAATCATCATGTTTCGAAACTGATTGACTTTGATTAAATTCTTATACATGTGTTATAGCCAAAACGCTCATCGAACGTAAAAACAAGTAAAATAACAAAAATACTGAACTCCGAGGAATATTCAAAACAGAAAATCCATAAACAAGTGGCAAAATCAAGAGATCAAACAAATTAAACGAATGGATAATAACTGTCGTATTCCTGAATTGGTACAGACATTTTCTTGTGTAGATAATGATGGATCAAAAGATTGTTAGCCTTGTATCGTTGATACGGTTTTACCCTTTCAAGTGTTTTAGTCAGTTGATTATCTTTTGCTGATAGTTTTGTCTGGTTATTTCTGACCCAGTGTTTTGATAATCCTTTTTCAAATCGTCATAACTTCTTTCACTATTCACGATGACAAAAAATTGAGAATGAAAATGGGGAATGTGTCAAAAGAGACAACAACCCAACCGAAGAGTAGAAAACAGCAGAAGGTCACCAATGTCTCTTCAATACAGCGAAACAATCCCGCTCTCGATGGCGTTCTTCAGCAAGCCACTAAACAAAAATTTGAACAAGTTCAGTGATAAATGGCATCATACTCAATTCCGAAATATATAAATGAACTATAATAAAAAATCATACAAGACTTACTGTTACATATTCATAGAAATGCAAAAATAACAAGTCGGATTTGACTATGTCATCAATGAGTGTAGTTTATTTCGGCTGAAATTGTAATTATCTTATTTTGAAGATTCATCGGAATCGAGTCATACTACTATACAGATAATTTTGACAACATTAGCAGGATGCATGCTTGTGGGTTTTTGTTTGGCAGTCCACTGTTATCTAAAATGGAAACAGAACAGATTTTCGAGACCTAGTGCTCATTTGAGTTCACTTTTCCAACCTATATAAGTTGTTTATTTAGATATACAAATGGTATTGACAATTTACTACACAAATGTTGTGGTATATAAACGTAGAAAAATCCAGGTTATTCTATTATTGTGTCCAAAATCTGTAATGTTTATATAGATAGACAGATATTTTTATTTTGAAATACAACTTGGTTCTTATACATGAAATACAATATATTACAGTTTTAAAAATATGCAATCAATAAACACGTATATTTATACAAACTAGCCTTTAGAGGCTTATGATGCAGTATCATTTATGTACGAAAAATTATATGAATAAATTTTAAAAAAATCAAATTTATCCTTATTATATCTGAGGCTTATTTCTTATTAGATACAATGTAGTTCCAATATATCAGTTGTGGTTAATATTAAATGAGAAAAATGAAGATGCAAGTATCTGAATAATTATTGGTTTGATAATGTAAGGGTTGTACATGGAAAAGTAGGAAGATAAGAGTTGTCTCTCTTTGTACGTATCCACATTATATTAAGTGAAAAATAGAATTTGTAATAAAAGATAAAAAAGAATTTATCACCTAGAATTGACTAAATTCTGACAGTTGATCTATATAATAATCATTTATGCCATTTACTGATATAGCAAAATAGTATGTAAACACTATATCCTATTTTTGAAAAAGTAAAAATTGAAAATGTTAATGCATTCATGAAAATATCTGACACTATTTATCACAATAAGTACATAACAAGCATATGTAACAATGATCATCCAGCAATGAACAGACCGGACCCTACTTAGTACAATGCAGCTATTATAAAATATATTAAATGACTAGAGTGTGTGCTTTTTTTCTTATATATATGATCAAAAGCGCTGGACACGAGGCTATGCTATTGGTGCGGTAGTGCATCAAAAATGTGAGTTCCCGTCGAAGGACAAAAGTTTTTCAGCACAGAAATCTATTTATACCATCGTTGGGTTTTATTTTTAGACTCATATAAATATTTGTATAAATATTTGTAGTAACCTTGTATTTGAAACACACTGAGATCCAGTGGACATATATATTGTATGGCTGTCACTTGCTTAGACTTGCTTTTATGACATACTTATTGTTAGTGACTGCATAATGAGCGGAATCACTATCCCATACGATATACAAAAAAAAATGTTAAATAGTTTGAAAAAAAGTAAAATCACAAAAAATACTGAACTCCGAGGAAAATTCATAACGGAAAGTCCGTAATCAAACGGCAAAATCAAATGCTCAAACACATCAAACTAAAGGATAACAACTGTCACATTCCTGACTTGGTACAGGCATTTTCTTATGTAGAAAATGGTGGATTAAACTTGGTTTTATAGCTAGCCAAACATCTTACTTGTATTACAGTCGCATCAAATTCCATTATATTGAAAGCGAAGCATGAACAAAACAAACAGACATAAAAGATAAAAATGTCAAAAATAGGAATATAGCTGTCTACATTATGTTTTAATCTTAATAACTATAAAAACAAACAAATATTTAACAAAGAAGCACAAAAAGGCATATAGAAAAACCACATTAGCACAAATAAAGGACAAGAATACAGAAATCATAGAACAAAAACACAACGAAAGGTTAAGCGATTGGTGCTGTAGTGTACAAAACGTGTGAGGTAAATAGGAACAAAATCGTGTCAGCATAAACATTTTATTCTTACACTGTTGGGTTAAATGTTCAGAATTATATTATATATACAGACTATATTTTTTCTTTGTCTTCAAATAAATATCAAAACTTTTTCCAGTGGTGATGCTTTATCATATATTTGATGAAAAGTTTCCTAGTGAGTGGGTGAGATAGGATGTTTTTTTTTAGCCTCGGTAGCAAGTTACTTTGGTGTGTACAATTTAAGGTTTACATTATTCATGTTATTTGAACAATATAGTATTACATATACAGCATTATAATATGTGTACTAAAACATAGGCGAAAGACATCAAAGAGACATTCAAACTGATAAGTCGAAAATAAACTTACAAAATCACAATAGTCCACAAAACACAACATAGAAAACTAAAGGTTGAGTAACCTGAACCAGCTGCAGAGATATCATTGTCTCAGCAAACATAACTGAAGTGCGACAACGTGACTGGATAGTACTGGGTAATCTGCAATCGAAACTCATGAGCAGTTTTTCATACATTTAAAACTAGATATTTTGAATGTTCTGGTAAAAACAGAAGAGCATTGACCGAACGGTTAACCAAATGCTAATAGATACCACAAATTTAATTGATAAACGCCATAAGCAATTTTTCGTTTTAAAATCCAGTGATGCTCGAATAAAAAAGTGATAAAGGCCAAATAAAATACGACCTCGCACTGCAAGGTTCGCCAAATATAGCTAAGGTTATCCATAGACTATCTATGGTAAATCGTTAGTATTGTAAAAATCTAAAGTGTTTCAACAATATTTTTGTGTATTTAGTGTAAAAAAAGAGTTTAAATCAATTCAGGACCCATCAATGTGAAGTTTGTAATTAGCAAATCCACACAAAAGAGCTAACTAATTATGATCAAGAGAATCATTATGATATTCTTTTATGTTGCTGTTTCGTATGGTGTATGCTTGCGATTCCTTTCAATAGTGAAAATATAATAGACAGTTATAAGTTAGCAAAGTTTTGTGTTTACACATTTCAGTTAAATATGAATCCAATATGAAATCTTGTTTTAATCTAGATAGCGTTCCCTCCTTTGTAGATAAAGTATATTTTCTATAAGTCATTTTTTTTCTCTATAATTTTGATAGAATATTTTACCAAGGTTTGGGAAAACATTACTTTTTGTTTTCACTGCATCGTTTTAACTCGTTCATATAAAAAAATAATAATAATGACTAATATGTGTTATGCCATATAGTCTCCTATCTCTTACCTGCACTAAACAATTATTGTTTTGAAAAAACAAATAATCACTACAGGAAAAATCATAGATAAGGAAATGCATTCATTCAAAAACCATTTTGCAGATGAATATTTTGGGGTCGATTTGTGAATTGTATCTTCTTTTTTTTCCTTTTTTTCTATTATTCTTAAAGTTTTAAGAGCACACAATAATCCATGTTAGAAAAGCAGATTTAGTCTTAGGTTTTTATATAACCATTTATGTTTTATCTTTTGTTATACAATACAGTTATCAATAGTTGTTTTGATTGTTATTTCCGTTTTTGAAAAAAAAACTCTGTAAAGCTTTGTTTATGCATGATATGCTCATTTGTTTCTATGAAGATTGTCTTTTAGATAATGATCGAGTCAAATCATTGAAGCGTTATGATATACAATAAAAATGAACTTAACATGATTGAAAAGACCTCGGGGAACTTTTTGAAAGCTGTCAAAATTCCCTGTTTAGAACATTTTATAACCTTACGTGCTTTAAGTATGTTCTACCTTTTGACTCCTTATTAAATCATTTTCTACAAAAATGCACCACTTTAAACCGTTTGAACTAACTCCATTTTCATACATACTAGAGTCATGAATTTGAATTGTTTGAATTGTTTCGGTTTTTATACATCATTGGCTTTTGAATATTTGGCTTTGAGCGTTCAGGATGAAGGGAAATCCATAAAAGAGGGACGAAAGATCCAAGAGGGACAGTCAAACTCACAGATCGAAAACAAACTGACAACGCCATGGCCAAAAATAAAAAGACAAACAGACAAATAATAGTTCAGATGACACAACATAGAAAACTAAAGACTAAGCAACACGAACCCCACCAAATACTGGGGTGATATCAGGTGCTCCGGAAGGGTAAGCAGATCCTGCTCCACATGTGGCACCCGTCGTGTTGCTTATGTTATTACAAATCCAGTAAATAGTCTAATTCGGTAGGTCACATTTGTGAAAAGGGAAGGGTATTGTAGTCACGACATAAGGAACATATCCTTAAAAGTGAAATTAATAACGTGTTATTTTTATTTTTTTCAGATATTTGTTTGTTTTCAACAGACTTAAATCAGTTATTTTTCATTGAAAGAATATACTTTTTTAGAAGCACAGTGGCATTATTACTTACGTTTTCTTCCTTGAAATGAACTTTATTTGGTCGATTTGGGAGATACAAATTGACCGAGAAAGACATATAGTCTCTATATTTAATTTTTCAAAGATTTAAACCAGATTCAATCACTTACATGTATGTGATGAATGATAAGAGTATTTTGTTATTTGAATGAACTTTCTCAAAACATGTCTATTAAATTGGGTTTAAAGTCATATGAAAGTCAAATAAAACAAAAAAAATATGAAAATGTTCTATATTCCGCAATGGCTTTTAAGTTTTACTATGTCACATGTGTACATAAACTGTCTTGTATAAGAAAATCCTTCATCCCTTTATCCTATCAAAATCTTTATAAAGCTACTACTATTCATTTTTTTGTCTAACCGTTCACTTATGGTCCGACATCTGTATCGTTTCAGTAACCTTAACTACGCGACCTCTCGTTAGAACTTCGGCAACCGCACAGTGAAAGTGCGATGTAAATCCGTGATGAAAAAATGTAAATAAACGTGGACCTAGGGTAGAACGTAATACCTGATTCATAATTACATATTAAATACACCAAATCATCAAAACAAAGGATAAGTAAAAGTTTAATTACAAAGTGGAACACATGGAAAATATAAATAAAAATCACTTATTTTTCAATTGTTGCACGTGCATCGTGTAGATTGTTTATCAATGTCGAAGTCCGGTAAACTTCGGCAACAACCTCAAACGTTTTGTAGTTTAGAGGTTGATTTTCGTATATTACTTTTTTATTGATCTGGCCGTAAGTTTTCCCAATCAAAATTGTAACATATTTTTCAAGTCGGGGTCTTTTATAGGCGACTATAAGGTATCGGGTTTTGTCAAATTTGAATGCCATATTGTTGACTCTAATTGCTTACGTCCACTTCATTAGAACTCGGATGGATAGTTCCATTGTCAATTATACCACATCTCCTTATTGTCATATGAACAGTTTTGAATATTAAATTCTTAGAAGCACATATACTCTAGATTTCACATAAAGATTCTTAGAAGCACACACACTCTAAATTCCATATAAAGTGAACACGTATGCCTTATGCATTAGTGGATATAGATTTAAAAGGTAACGAAGTTTTTCTCACAATGACTTTATACATCAAAACACATGGAAATGTCGCAGCAAGTCACACATGTGAAACAAGAATAAGAGTTCAGTTGACTAGGTCTGATGATTGACTGATCAACTGAACATTGCCCAATAATGTATTGTTCAGTATTTTAAATGCAATTCAGATGGAAATAACTGTTACAGTTAGTGTTATGTTCACTACTGATAGTTACTTCACCAAGAATATCACTAAACATATTGTGAATTATTCCCCTTTATACATCGTTTTTACAATTACTTCAGTTTATTCATTACGAAAGTTAAGGTTTTGTAGATGTCATTTCGTTAAGTAATGGCATACTATAGAAATGGATCCTCATTTATACAATAAAAAGCCTATACATACACACGAAAAGGACCCATACATTGTAATTGACTGTCTTGACTATGCATGGCTATGGAATTGAGATATCAAGTTTACGACTAGCTACTTCTCTTTCCATTGCAGAGTTGTGACATTTTAAAATTTATGTTCCCTAATGCATGTAGCAATTTAGCTCTCATGATGAGGTATTATTCGTACCACACTACACTGTACGGAATGTGATTCGAAAAAAATGGTACTAAAATTGCGTAAACAAGGTAAATTTGATAGACAAAAGACAAATTGAAAGAGTTGGTATTACTTTGTTTCATTAAAAAGAATGGCGAACGTAGATCCAAGTATCTTGTCTTGGGGAGGGATAAATCCTACTTTGTAAAGAATCACTCTGATTCAAACAAAAAATTCTCTGAAACTGACATTATCAAGATGCTTGATTTCTTGATTGACAACATCAGGAACATATTTGTTACGTTTGGAGGACGTGTTTTTCAACAGACTGTCGGAATTCAAATGGGAACCAATTGTGCCCCTCTTCTTGCCGACTTGTTTCTTTATTATTATGAGGCTGACTTCATACAGGACCATCTTAGGAAGAAAGACAAAAAGTTAGCAATATCCTTTAACTTTACGTTCCGCTCTATAGATGATGTTCTCTCACTAAATAACACAACATTTGGTGACTATGTTGAACGAATCTATCCCATCGAACTAGAGATAAAGGATACTACAGATACAGTTAAGTCTGCCTTATATCTTGACTTACATCTAGAAATTGACAATGAGGGTCGGTTGAAAACAAAACTTTACGACAAAAGAGATGATTTCAGCTTCCCAATTGCATTTCTATGTAGCAACATTCCAGCAGCGTCTGCATACGGAGTATATATCTCCCAATGATACGATATGCCCGGGCTTGTATTTCCTATCATGATTTCCTTGATAGAGGATTGCTGCTCACAAGGAAGCTATTAAACCAAGAGTTCCAAATGGTGAAGTTGAAATCATCCCTTCGTAAATTTTACGGACGCCATCACGAGTTGGTTGACCGTTATGGAATAACCGTTTCACAGATGATATATTCCTTATGTCGTTACTACAATACCTTTCCCTTTTCACGAATGTGACCTACCGAATTAGACTATTTACCGAATT